CTGAAGACCATCCAGCACCATCCTAACTCAGCTCTGTTCCTTAAATGGGCCGCTTGGTACCAAGGAATTCCGTGTGCTTCTCAGTGCACCTGTATGAACACATATCTGAGGACCATCGCCTCATGAATGAGCATGCTCATGTTAATTATCATTACAATTTACATACAGACCTTGAGAGTGTCTCCTCCCCCTGGACTCCTGCCTGGGGGAGAGTGCGTGTTGTGCTGTGCAGTCTGGGCAGGTGGTCAGGAATGGAGGGCCAGTGTCCTGCCAGTGAAGGGGGAAGCTGTTCCTGGGAAGCAGTACCAGGGAGAGGGACTCTGTTGGAAGCTGAGTGAAAGTTGGAACCTGGCGGGGACCTGGTGATTTTCCGGGGAGGACAGGAAGATGTCTGCTGACCAGCTAAAGTCGCACGCAGTATTGCCGCAGTCGGCTTAAATGCCCTCTGCACTGTGAAGCTGGGAAGTGGTCGGTGGGTCTGGCGTCTGTTCTGGATGTCTGAAGCCTCTATCCCTCTCTCCCATGTCAGCTGCTGGAGAAATCAAATCTTTGAAAACACCTTAAAGGGACCAGTGCCCAACTTTACATTTGCACCCCACAACCGACTAAGGACTTACCACTGAGGTGAAATGACAGCAAACCCCGCCTCTGGGGTCCTTCACATGCTTCTGGAGGTTATGGGGGTGCAGCTAAACTCCAGGTATCTCTAAGATTTCATCTTGTAGTGGGCCCCACCTTGCACTACAAGTGTTAAATGCCCATTTTATCTAGGGGGGTAAGGAAAAAGGTGAAATACTTACCATATTCCCTCACACACGCAGGCTTCCTCCTCTCTGTACGACCAGTCGCCCCAAAACCGTTCCCCTTTGCTATTTGAGCAGTGTCAGCTCTCCCCTCCTGTAATAAAGGCTGGTCACTGCTTCTCTCTCTCCTTGTGCAAGGTGACTGGCCTTGTCTCCGCCCCCTCCTGTAATAAAGACCGGTCACTGCTTCTCTCTCTCCTTGTGCAGGGTGACTGGTCTTATCTCCGCCCCCTTCTGTAATAAAGACCGGTCACTGCTTCTCTCTCTCCTTGTGCAGGGTGACCGGTCTCATCTCCACCTCCTCCTGTAATAAAGACCGGTCACTGCTGCTAATCTTTTTATTAAAAGACTCAAGCAACGTTTATATAAAAAAAATAACAAAACATAACCATAATATTAACTGTACAGAAACAAAACCATAAATATACAGTACACCACAAAATTATATACACACTGTATATACAGACAACATTATTACTATGTCCATCTTTTAGAGGAGCAGCAGACTCCTCCTCTTCATCCTGGTGTATGTCCATCTCTGGTCCATCTCAGAAGGTGGATTCGGAGCTCCCCTCATCTGGAGGGACAGGTGCTCTCTGATCTTGGCACAGTCACCCTGTATCTGCGTCACACACTTAAAATTGACACATTTAGCATCGCGGAGCCGGTCACGCCCTGAGCACTCGGAGCATTTACTGACAACTGTCATCACTTTAATAAGGACGTCTATTAAGACGGAGCGAGAAAACCTCATTTTAAACATTTGAAGTTCTTCACTCGTCACTTTGGGCCAGTCCCCTCCCATGACGAGCTGCATGTCTGTGTCACCTCTGTGACATGTCTGTCGTACGGACGGCAGCCTGACACATCAAAGCCGAGGTCCAGAGGTAGACGGTGTCCGTGCCGGTGCGAACAGGAGAGAGCGCCGCAAAATCGTAAGTCATCGGGGGCTTCAATGGCAAATTTTTTTACTCCTTCGCACTCAGTATGTTGAGTCACCAATATCCCAACTTTGTTCAAAAAAATTGCGGTATGTTTGTGCGGCGCGACGCAGCGAGCGGAGGGACCTCGTCGCAGAATTACCAAGTTATTTCTTTCTTTAGCAGCTTTTTGTTGATAGTTTTGATGCATTTTATGTGTATCCCGCGTCGTTCGTCCAACGGCGTCATCTCAGGCTTTCCAATGGAAATGACATGACTGCCTTCGGATGTTGCGTTCCGCCGTGTTCACGGAGTTTTACGAACGCAGGTTTTCGGGGGTTTGCACGTTACTCGAATTTTGCAAACGATGAATATTGACACGGCTGTAAAACTCTGTAACAAGGACTAGAGGCCACCACCTAAAACTGGTGGAGAAAAGATTTAACCACAAAGGGGCGTAGGGGCTTCTTCTCAGTCAGAGCGGTTAAAGTCTGGAACTCTCTGCCACCAGAAGTGGTATCGGCAAAGAATCATTCAAAAAGCATTGAGATACCTTCCTCGGAGACTGTAACATACAGCCGGGGACAGGTACTCTTAAAAATTAGACCACACAGGGATCCATATACACGCACAATCACACACAGACACACAAAAGGTTGGACTTGATGGACCAGTGTCTTTATTCAGCCTCAAATACAGTACTATGTAACTACGTAACTACGCAACTATGCAACTATGTAACTATGCAACTATGTAACTATGTAACTATGCAACTATGTAACTACGTAACTATGCAACTATCCGCATTGAACAATGTTTCTAACCGGCAACAAAAGTAACTTGTAACATTTCCTTCACCTACAATCGTGTCGCAGACGGCAGATAGAGACTTTTTTTTTGTTGTCAGACGTTTTCTATTTCCTAATCTAATATAATTGTTACCTTATAACAGAGCGAGCAGATTTGGGATAATTATCCTTTTATGAGGCAATTATAACTATTTTTACCATGTGTGACAGCCGGGCAGTGCTGCGTTCGGGGGAAATCAGATTTTTGGATCTACAGTTTGTGCGTCGGGTCGTTTAACCCCTTTATCACCGCAATGAAAGCTTGTCCTTGATGGAGTAGACGTGAGCAGCACCCGACGTACAGCAGTTACACGTTCTACATTCTTTATTTTACTTTTATTCTTTGTCTGTTTTTTTTTCTATTTAAAAACTATTATTTTTTTGGCTCGGAGTTCCAGAACAGATGAAAGGAGCTTCTGTGACCATCAGGAGCCATTTAAAGGCCATTTCACCCTTAAAATCACCAAAGTAACCTAATTTCATCATCATAATCGATTCAAATGCATTGTACCAAAAGGGTGAAATTTCATCGAAATCTACAAAATTTCCTCCAAATTGAAAGCTCTCGTATTCCATTCTGATGGTGCTGGTGGTGGTTGGTGAGAAACCCATTGTCAGCAGATTCAGGTTTGCAAAGAGCAGAATTCGGGAGGGATAGGGAGCAAATAGGGAGCGCTCTTCGCTGGTGGTCAGTGGAGGAGGGCCGTCTTCCCTGGTGTTCAGTGGAGGAGGGCCATCTTCATTGGTGGTCAGTGGAGGAGGGCCGTCTTTATTGATGGTCAGTGGAGGCTGGCCGTCTTCATTGATGGTCAGTGGAGGAGGGCGTCTTTATTGATGGTCAGTGGAGGAGGGCCATCTTCATTGATGGTCAGTGGAGGAGGGCCATCTTCATTGATGGTCAGTGGAGGAGGGCCATCTTCATTGATGGCCAGTGGAGGAGGGCCTTCTTCATTGATGGTCAGTGGCGGAGGGCCTTCTTCATTGATGGTCAGTGGGGGAGGGCCGTCTTCATTGGTGGACAGTGGAGGAGGGCCGTCTTTATTGATGGTCAGTGGAGGAGGTCCGTCTTCATTGATGGTCAATGGAGGAGGGCCGACTTCATTGATGGTCAGTGGAGCAGGGCTCTCTTAATTGCTGGTCAGTCAGGAAGGGCCGCCTTCATTGTGTGTCATTCTTCTTCTGTCATATAATTGTTTTTTGTTCCTCCTAAAGAATACTGGTTCAGCAGTTCTCTCACAACCAGGACCTGAAGAATGGTCATAGTTGTGAAAGTTTCTTTAACCAAATATAGAGCCATTTATCCAACTGTCCATCCAGAGCCGCCATTTATAGACCAGATACATCCTAAATATAGAGCCATTTATCCAACTGTCCATCCAGAGCCGCCATTTATAGACCAGATACATCCCAAATATAGAGCCATTCATCCAACCGTCCATCCAGAGCCGCCATTTATAGACCGGATACATCCTAAATATAGAGCCATTTATCCAACTGTCCATCCAGAGCCGCCATTTATAGAACAGGATACATCCTAAATATAGAGCCATTTATCCAACTATCCATCCAGAGCCGCCATTTATAGACCAGATACATCCTAAATATAGAACCATTTATCCAACTGTCCATCCAGAGCCGCCATTTATAGACCGGATACATCCTAAATATAGAGCCATTTATCCAACTGTCCATCCAGAGCCGCCATTTATAGACCGGATACATCCTAAATATAGAATAGAGCCTTCCACTGACCACCAGCATTAAAGCATTTTTTTCCCTTCCACTAACCTGTAAGGAACTCGATGTTACATAATCTTCTATCTGTAATCTATATCCTGTGCTGTATGTTACATACTCCTGACCTAAGTGTTTGTTGTTTCAACAGTTGCTGGTTACAAAGTAGCCCCCCAAGTGTTTTAATGAAGTTCTTCTTTAAGGTAAACTCAGACAGACAAACATATGTGATGGGAAGTTTTTAGAAATGGTTTGTGTGCGTCTGTAAGACTCTGACACGTGGCACAGGAACGACGAGGACTGCGGCACGCATGTGTGGTGTGCATATATACGTATAATGATAGTGTGTGACTGTGGGGGGACATTAGAGTGTAAGCTCCTCTGTACAGAGACTGATGTGACTGTGGGGGAGGGGACATTAGAGTGTAAGCTCCTCTGTACAGAGACTGATGTGACTGTGGGGGGGGGGCATTAGAGTGTAAGCTCCCCTGGTACAGAGACTGATGTGACTGGCTCTTTGTACAGCACTGCGGTATATGTCAGAGCTATATACATGTATAATAATAGTGTGTGACTATGGTATGGGACTGATAAAGAGAAAATGATGACGCTTTACTAATGACAGTACTCGGTGCTCATATGCTAATGTTGGGTTCTCTATGTAATAACAAGTTCTGGAATGAGTTGGCAGAACGATGTCACTGGATCGTTGGGATGCCGTGATGTGGGGCTCGGAGTCGGTCTCCTTGTGCTACATTGAGGTATCTGCGAGTCTAGAGGTCTATGAAGGTGATGAGGTGTCCTGGGATAGCAGAGGTTCTTGTCATTAATGATGAGGTGATTGACATGTTCATGTTTGGGAGGTCACACATGTCCTGGATTGGAGCTGAAAAGCTTCACGTATGATCGAGTGGTCCGGTCTTTGGAAACGGCCGTCAGACCTCCGCGTGTGCTCATTACTTTTCTGTTACTTTGTAACTCTCCTCGATAAACTTTCACCGTGAGCAGGAGGTGTTAGTTTCCCTATCAGGACATCAGAGTTAGGGATGCACCGACACTAGTATCTGTATCGGTACCGTACTCGTACAAACCCAAATTCTCAGATACTTGCCTCCGATACCAGAACCTCCGGTCAGAGGGAAATCTATCAGGAAGCTGGGAGGTGGGTCCTGACATGTCGCCCAGCTTCCTGATTGGCCAGGAAGCTGGCTACACTTGTTGCTAGGCAGCTGGATTCCCGGAGGGGGAGGGGACATTAGAGTGTAAGCTCCTCTGTACAGAGACTGATGTGACTGTGGGGGGGGGACATTAGAGTGGAAGCTTCTCTGTACAGAGACTGATGTGACTGTGGGGG